TGCAATATAGCTTATTCAATAGCTTTCCTTGGCATTTAACTTAGTGTACAATCGATGAGTAATTGTGGTTCTAGGAAATTCATGATGAAACATTTCGAAAACTTCCCGAAATTTTCCCCAAAATCATCATTTCGTGCGACCCAGAAGATTTCTGTGGGAGGAATTTTCCTTGGACGATTGAGGAAAAGCACGTGGTCGGTGCGGAATTAAAAATTATGGATAAAAATTCATAATAGTAGCAGTGTATGATTGACGTGTATATGATTAATTCTGTGCGGGGTCATCTGTTTCTCTAAAAGCCGCCTTGTGCTACAGATGAGCCACAGACGCAATGCTATATAGTGAGACTCTCTGGGTGTGGGGGGAATTTTTTCGGGTGGAAAGGCAATCTTGGCACTGATTCACGCTAAAAGTCACGATTCTGGGGCCAAGAAGCCAAGAGACTGTCTGACACTGAGGATTATAAATATGGGAAAGGGGGAGGACAGAGATAGTGTGCAATTTTGCCATGTCACTGGGCATTTGGTGAGGGTTTACCTGAAAAAACAAACAGAAGCAGACCCACTGGTAGTATTTGTGGTCCTTGCGATCGTTGGTCTTGTTCTCTGAATTCCCAATGCCTGGATACGCCGTCTCGCTTCCCACCTTCTTGCGGAAGTAACTCCTGAGGCTGTATGTGGAATGGATCCAGCAGTACGTGTTGAGGACATCCTCAGGGATGTCTTTCGTGTGGATGCAGTCGATGGGGTTTCCCACATATTGGCGCGTGGTGACGATGAGGGAGAATGCCATGAGCAACATCACGGTGATGGAGTAGTGGAGCCGAAATACAGGTGAATCGATGTTGATATGGCTGACTTTGATAAGGTTCTTGAGTCCACGGAAGATATCTAACATGTTTCTATGTCTTTCTAGGGTGTTACACGATTCTTGAGGTGTCTCCCTCCTCCCTGATCAATTGGACGTGAGACGACAATTTTCACCATAAATTGTCACATCCTCCATGAGGTTGACAATGGTTCGGAACACTCTCAGCGGGTGGCGGACTGTCCGCACGGTGTTCACAAGGCACTTTATTAATATTCATTGCCCAGGGATAAAAAAAACGGGGATGTTCAAAGCGGCACTTCAGATTCCTGTCGCCTCATTCTTGTCACAGCGACCATTCATGAGTTGTGGTCCTTTTAGCATGGTACTTTGGGCACTTTAGTGTCTACTCACTGAGCGTTCAGTCAACAACAAATATGATAAGGCACTCAATGTCTCTCATTGTGTCTGTCTATCAAATTTCCATGGTTCTGTATAAAAGTGCAAGGCAACTTTTTGGCGTCTTCGCGGTGATATGTTCAGAATTCCCGGGTCACTACTCAGCCGCTGGCGATGGTAATTGTCTATGGCAGTCGAGGAAATTGGAATACATGCTGAATTTCCGGGGGCATCTCGCGCAAAAAGTGCGTACCTTTCCGCCACACTTTTCCCCAAGACTCGCACTCTCACTTGTGTTGATTAAATTGCAACATATATATTGTAAATTTAGACATTCCCGGCAATTTTGTACAGTGTTTATGTATTCCACAGCGTCGTTGCTTCACATATTGTTTGCCGGATGATTATGATTCCCCAGCACCTCGTCTTCCTTACACGTGAAAGAGGCACGCACACTCAATCTGGCCACGCAGAAAAATGCTCGGTGTAAGAGTGTGTTATATTAAACACGGGAAAATTAGTGTAAGGTTAATAGGTTGAGCACTCATCGCCTCCTCAAGGTATTAGCACTTTTTCACACATTTTCGATTATAATTTAGATGAGAATGGAGGAGGGGCGGGTTCGCCAAATCTCGCTGGAGCTCTCTTGGCACATCAAAAAATATACATATTTTTGCTCTGCACAAGATTTCCTGGCAAAGCGGCAGGAGAACTTTCTGGCTGACACTTTAATTTTTAATTCACATCACAATCACGCTTTTTTGCAGGGGCGAAATATTGTGGCGATAAGTGCAGCTGAAAGAGCTCTCTCCCGTGCTCTCCACCCCAGTGGGTTGGCGAGGAATGCTCTCGGACTCCGGCAGAAAGCTTAGCAAGACCTTGCGAATGGGGTGTGTGCTGATGGGCTGAGGAGGAAATTTAGTGGACGTGGTTTTTTCTGGTGCGGTCTTTGGTAAAAACTCTCAAAATATGCAATGAATTTGTGAGTTAGTCGTGTATGATGACGGTAATTTGGTCAACCATGGGGATCAGTGTAATGGGCTTCCCGTTGGCCTAATGAAGTGTGAGAGGTCACTGAAGAGGCGCCTGTCTCTGTGCCCTCCGACAGGCTCCTCCTTGGGCAAGGTACTGGGTGGACTGTAGCGTGAACTATACACTGATTGGTGTGGCTGAGCAGAAAAAGCGCCTCACGCTGGGTACCGCATAACGATGTAAGCACCGCGACGCCAAATTTAACACTGACCGAATGGCATCAGACGCTGCGACTGACTATGAGATTCTCTTTGGGTTTTGTTGGGTGAATCCACGGCACGCCGCTGTGTGTTATATTATGTACAAATTTTCCAACTCTATGACGGAAGAGGAGAGTGAGTGAGACGGCAGGAAGGCTCTTCGGTCAATGATGTCGTAGAGCATGGTGTGTGAGCCTCATGTGATTTTCCCTCATTCTCTCGGCTCACTTACACCAAGCCAGCCATTTTCCGCGATTAGCCAGACCCTTCCGCTTCCCCACGAGCCACCGACTCACCGTCTCGCGGGCTGGGGAGCTCCGTGATCTCACAATGCGGAAGATCTTCCGCACAGCCGAGACACACGAGATCGCTGAGATACTTGATTCCCACGCGATCCTCGTGCCTCAATGGCTAATATTGGCATTTTTGCGTGGTTAACAACTCAATAAAAAATCAACCGCAAAACATAATAAACCAATAACAACATTTTGGGGTGGTTGGGAAAAGAAATTTTCCGCATGATGCTTTGGTGAATTGATATCTATTCCGAGAAGACAATGGATATAATTTATTGTGTGCAAATATTGAGTTGATTTTGGAATGTGATTGAAACCGGAATTATCATAAAATGCCAAAATTATAGTCAATTTTTGTTCACTGATAAATTTTACACTGAAAATTTGTTTAATATATTTTATTTAACACCAAATGCAGTGTAAAATCACACAAACACCAGGCGTCTCCATCCGACTCAATGGAGGCGCCTGGTTGTTTCAATCTTTCCAGTTGATTTCACACTCATTGTATGAATAAATGTATAAATTTTTCAATTAAACGCAACAATGAATTTTGAATACTCGTGTGTTTTGGGTAAATACTTAGATATATATTCTTATAAGGAGAATTTAATATAAATTAACACTTTGCGCTTCATTAGAATAAATTTCTCAGAATAATAATCCCAATTTATTCTCTTTTAGCTCATAAAATCCTTTGTCTTCCTACAGAATTTGAAATAATTTATAACATGATGCATTGCATACGAAAAAAAACAACTCGTAATTTAAAGAATTTGCTATCAAAGAGAGAATGTGTTTTGAAACTCAACAACTTCCACATTTGTTTAAAGTTTAAATAAATTGATCCGTCTGCTTCGTCAAACATTGCAGGCTTCTCTTTTGGGAATTTCACTCAACCTCGCTTGTGGGTGATATTTCTCCGCCATATTGGGGGATCATTCATGGAAATAGCCATAAAAGTGAGGAGAGAAAAGAATGATGGTAACAAAAACCGGAGAATGGACGCATCGTGAAATAAATTTTTTTCTTTCAATGGGTGTTCTTTTTCTTGTCCAAATAAATTGTACACTTTGTTTGTTATGATTCAACATTGGCTTCTGCTGCCAGTCAAATAATTCTCGGAATATTGACAGTTTGGGCAGCGTGAAGTGTGAAAAAAGGCGATCTCGTGTTTCGATATTCGTAAAATATGATTATGATTGGTTATTTGAGCATTGCAGGGAAAATTTCTCACAATGCAATTTTGCCCAGATTATCGAATGATGTGCGCCACCCTTTAGCGATTTGCATGAGGGCTGCGCGGATTGTCATCGTGAGATGGGGGATGTTCGTGAAAATTCAGTGGAAAATCCATCTTCAATATTTCTGGTATTCATTCGCCTTGCATCCCAATGAAATATTCTCTCTGTTTATTTTATGAGGATAGTTGGTGCTGCTTTTTCCTTTGACCCGAATAGACATTCCGTCTCACTCGGAGTGTGAGAAACATACAAAATTTGTGTATACATATCAATAATTTTTATAGTGGGGACATTTGTCATATTTTCCCACCACCCAGACACTCATTCGCAAAGCCTCTTTTCCTCGGCTTCATCCCGATGCCCAGAAAGATGGAGAGCTGTGTTATGATTTGTGACGATCGCTACATGACTATTAATTCACGCCGGAGGCGTCAAGAGAATATTTTTAATTGATTTCAGAGGAAGAGTGTTCTTGGGCGCAAAGTGCCACGTTTATGAGGGGCTCTGTGAATATGGAGGTTTGTGCCAAAACACGCCTCCAACATCATGAGCTTTGATCATTGACGACACGTGACAATATTTCCAACAGAAATCACGACCCGACACTGAAACAGGTGCAAAATGTAGTGTGAAACAATATTTGAAATGAGGTGTATAATAAACATTATTTTAATGATAAGTGAATTTGAATTCATCTAATATTCAATGGAATTTTTCAAAGAAAGAATGACTGATAAAACCAAAAATATTTATAATGCAGAGACGATTTTGCAAATATAAATGAGATGGAAAAATATTCATACATAATCTGATTTCTATGTCATGAAATTTAAGACGATCGATAGTTTGCTCAATGTGCAACATATTGCAGTCATAATTGAGCACTTGAATTTTATATTTTCCAAGTGAGAATACTTTTAAGAATTGCAATGTCAAAATTATCCAATTTCCCCACAGAAATTCTTCTGCTCGTCCTCGCGTCGTTCCATCTCATGCAATATTCAAGGAAAATCGTGACTCACCTGGAAGAAAAGCGTGAAAGCGACCCACTGATAGTATTTTGTGTGCTTTATTGTCACATTGGCGCGCGACTGTGAGTTGTCGACACCCGGAAATGGCACCTCTGATCCCTGTTTCTTGTTGAAGGCATCAGCCACTGTATATGTTGAGTGTATCCAGCAGTATGTGTTCAAAACATCCTCCGGGATGTCCCTGGAAAATCACAGAAAAAAAACATCACATTAGACTCGCCACAAATCGTTACATTTCCGTTGGCGCGGCATTTGAACGGCGGCAAAGTTGCGCGCAGAGCGAGGAAAAGCTCACGCAGCGACGGAAAAAGTGCTTAAGCACGGGCATTCACCTTGTATGAACGCAGTCTATTGGATTTCCCACGTACTGCCTCGTTGTAACGGCTATGGAGAAGGTTACTAACAAAATTACAGTGGCGTTGGTGTGAAGTCGGAAAACTGCAGAGTCCACTTTCACATGATTCACCTTAATTATCGTTGATTCAGGTTGGTGGATATTGTTGTTTTTTGGCCACAGTGCACACACCATTGCCGCGTGAAGAATGGGTCCAGACAATGCAAGAAAATAGTGGAAGAGATGGGAAACATGTTAGCATTTTTGGCACAGAGTATCCATTTGGTTTTTGCATCTCTCTTCGCTCACACATCAACAGACAGAAATAAGAGGAATCTTCCCTTAATTCTGTGAATAATTACATAAATTAAGGATATAAATCAAAAAGTGCAACGAAAAAAAAACCCTCTTTCCGCTCTTGCAGCACATCTTTTTTCCATTCACCACGTCTCCGTGGAGGTGATTTGCAGGAAGCGAAAGAGAGTTTGCGAGTAACAATTCAAAATCACTCAAAAATGGCGAGTTAAATCAAATTGCATTCCATCAATCATACCATAAAAGTATTCTCATATGTATTTTACCTCCTGTTCTTACGCTCATTCGGTAAAAAATAGAAATACGTGAGGTGGATAAAACTGAAGTGAACCATTTGTGAATATAGGTAGAATTTGAGAATAACATCGCGAGTGTTTAAATTGTGAATTGAGCTAAAGTGAAATTTCTGCAATTAGCGAAATTGACCAACATTAGCCGAGTGTAGAAGAAATTTCTCAAAACAATTCATATAATAATACTGCGCCTACCGAATATTCAAATGAAAAAAAAAGAACGAATTAGACAAATGAGTAGCTTAACTAATAATATTTTATCTCTATACAAATTTTCAATGTACTTTTAAAAATCAACTGGTAGGTTTAGTGTTAAGAGATAAGTGTGTTTGCTCTATTTTGCTGTGGGTGTAAGTCTGAAGTGTCTTAAATACTCGATATTTTGAGACAAAATGCCATGAATTTCTCTGTCGTATTATCCCATTATTTGTACTTTAAGCGAGTGTACAGATATAAAAGAGAAAAAATGCGATTAGTGAAGAAAATCTGAATCGAAAATCCACTCACCGAAGATCTACTCACTTGCATGAAGGCATAGACACCGCGGAGAAATTCCATATTGGATGACACACTCGGGGATCTCCTTTGACCCCCACGACCCCGCTTGAGGTATGATGGAATGCTTTCTGTGAGATGTGATTTTAATTTCTGCGAAATTGGTCTGCAACGAGATGAAGAGAGAACACACACCCAGAGGGCGAATGAATTGCATTTTCTCCATGAAAAATTCGTAATACAAAAGTTATATATAGGTGCATGAGAAGAAGTAGAGTCGCATATTTGATTAATGCACTTTTCAGTGCTGGGACATTTTGGATAAAGGTGTCAGTTTACTGCACATGCTTGAATAAGTGCAAAATTAATGTTATTATTCTTGTCAGTCAACTGGAAGCTCGCTTTTTATTTGAATGGACAACTGCTGGTGATTGGATTGTATTATTTCGACTATTGTCGCGTGATATAGCGTGATTATAAATACTGAAATAGATGACTAATTAGCCAGAATGATAGTGTCTTTTGGCCATTCTTCCCTACCCTGTCATTGCTTAGTTTCAGCCTTAAGAGTGTTTGGCGTGTTGTATTGTGAAGCTCTTCTTCTGTGTTTATACATAACATCCTTAAAGCATTCTATTGAGCGAAAACTCCACGCTATTGTCCACAGTCTCAGCAGTAAATGATTTGCAAAAAGAGTTTATTTCCCCTCCGGAGATTGGGAGAAAGGAAGTGCGAAATAGTGGTGGAAAATATTTCTGAAAGAATTCTTGTGCACTGTTCTGGAGAGTGACTCTTAGTAGAATGTAGCAAATGAACCAGAATTATGCTGCCAAAGGATTGATAAAGGAATCTGCTCGCAATAAAAGCACGTCTTACCTTAATGAAAGTACATTTGCGAGATAGACTTTGACGGAATTATTGAAACTTCATTAGTGTGATTTATTGAATCACCAAATATAATTTATTTTAACACCAATGCAGTCATGCAGAATTGTCGATCATTTTGGCGAATTAAATTACTGCAATTCTGTCTGATGTTGTACAAACAGAGTGTGATGGAACCACATAAGCCCTATTACAAATATTGTCCACCCGGCGCCTCCATCTCGATGGAGTGTGTCAATTGAAATATCATAATTAATAAATTAGAGGGCAAATATTTGATGACTTTTTTTGTGTGTGTGTGTGTGACGAAAAGCGCAAATTCATGTATATTTTCCAGATAAATTGCACAAAATGTCGAAAACGAGCAGAATAAATCATGATTAGCGCAGAATTTTTTGCACACATTCAAATACTTTCACCCGGCGCCTCCATCTCGTGCCACTGAAAATTCCCTGCAGCACGAAATATCACAATTCTCTCAGCAAATTAATAGTTTACAGCCTCTTTAGCTGGGGGATTTTATGACTCTATATTTCAGTGAATGTTAATTTTTAAAAACATTCCGTTTTCACTACCCATGGGTCTTGAGCGAAATTTTATAAGAGTTTCTGTGTTTGCTCGAGCGATATTCTTTCATTATTTGCGCGCTCTCCTTCTCTGGTCGAAAACACTCAAAACGGGTGCACCACGGGTGCTGATGCAAATAAAATAGGAACAAAATTCCCATAAAAAATCTCCTGATGTCACTCGTGCCTTTTTGGAATAGTTCTCCCTTCTCAAACCGCTATATTTTCGGTATAGTGTGCTTTATAGACCCACCCAAAAGACACGGAATGGTGATTCGAGACAGAGAAATTTATTGTCATTCTTGTATCTTGGTCACTGTGCCTCATTTTATTTTCAAAAAGAAAGAGAAAGAAAAAACGGAAAGGCCCCAGAATATGTATGACCAAATGACAGCGAAATATTACATTTCAAGCTCTAAATGGTCAAATGACTTAAAATTTAAATCGCAAATTTTATTGGCCGGAGTTTGAGGGCTCGTCACGATGTGTGCTGAATTAGTGGCATATTGGGGGGTGTGGAAGATGATGACATTTATTCTTCAACGTCATCAATTTGGCGGCACAATTGCACGCATTCAAGAGGCGGACGGAAATTGTGAACAACACTCGCGACATTTATTTGGATGGAGCTCACGAATTTCGCAGCAGATGATAGTTTTTTTTACCCTCGAACGCCTTCTCGTTCTCGACGTGAGGATGGTTTGAGAAATTACGCCCTGAGGTGAAAAGGAAACTGCAAAGGGTGCTTCATTGAAGATTGGACAGTTCTTCGCGACTTTATACATAATTATGATTTTGAAAAAAATATATTTAAACTAGAGTTTTTACGCAATTTAAATTAATTGAACTGTTAGTGGCCAAAAAGACAGCAATATCTCTGCTTGTACTCCATTTCAGCGAGTGAGTAGCCTCTTTGACGAGGCTCATTGAAGAGCTTTAAGAGGAATTTCTGGTGACACTTGTGTGGCTCCTTCAGTCGCCACTTTCTGAATCTGAAGATGATTCCTTTTAAATTCATATCACTGGCTCCGAAGTGAGATTGTGGCCCAAATGGTGTGATGTCTGGAGGTCTGAATGTTCTCCCCACTAATCCTTTATGTGTGGAATCCCCTGTGGCCATATAAGAGACATCGCACGGTGTGATTTTGACAAAAATTAGGCTTTTTATGTGTTTGATTTACTTTGGAAAGCGCCATGGCTTGGGCGGTCTCCAGGCTTTTTTTTGGAGTCGCATGCAAAAAGCTGCCACCCCGTTCATAATATCGGGCGGAATGTGTGTGAGTGAAAAAGAAGAGGGCAGAGAAAAAGAGTTGACTTTATTGCCCTCAGCAGCCCCCAACCCTCCAATGCCAGTGTGAAAGATTGAAGACGAAGATTATGTCAGTTGTGTCATTGTGGACGGGCAACCATCCCTCGTCGTCCGCACAGTGTATATAAAGTTTTGATATACACCCAGTGTGTTGTCTGCAGGAAAAGCCCCGAAACCGGAACAATTTTCCATGGGAAGTGTCTAAATTTCTATAGGGAAATATGCCAAGTGCTTTATACTCGACACAAGTTCAATTTGCATCTAGAATTTTATCACTCGTATCACTATACGGAGAAAAATGGATGCATTACCAAGTGGTCATAAAGTCAGGCAACATAAAAGATATATAGCAATAAATATTGTGAGAAAATTACACACGGACCAGATATATGGGGCTACCTCGGAATAAATTTGAGGCCTCTATGGAGGGAAGCTCGCTTGTCTCCGACATTTGCCGTGTGAGTAATTAGAGTCTCAATGTTAAGATCAAGTTTTTAATAACTTCTCACCCTTGAAAATTCGATGGGGCTCGCAGGTGCCTTGCGTGACTCAAATAATTTGCAAGAAATACTTTATAGTGGTTTCCCGGACACTTTTTGCACCCCACTTGCACCTCTATATAGCGATAGAATATGCTTGGGGGGAAATTATCTGAAATAGACACAATAAAATAGTCACTTTTTGCCACAATTCACCCTTTTTGCATCAGCACCCCGTCCCCCAGACCCAACATCATCAGTCCGGCCAGACACTCCGGGCTGTGCTCTCGTTTTTGCCTCCTTGCTGTCCAGCGTGATTTGGGGGACATTGAAAGTGTCTTGACGTGGTGCTGTTCTTTCTCCCTTTAGCCTTTTTGGGGTCAAAATACCAGTTGGGGGTGGGTTAGAAATATATGGTGAGACAAAAAGACTTTATTGTGTTGCGATGGTCGACCTATAAACTAAACTGGTCGGAACAAAGTAAGTGACGACGCCAATTCATAAAATTTTGCCACAATCCCATCCCTATCCACCCCTTTTTTAGTTCGCCCCCCTCCAGCCCTGAGAGCAAGCATACATTCAGCGCAAAAATGGGGAGGACATACCCTCGTACATTCGACTCTCGGACACAGGGTGGTCGAATGCAAACACTGATGAGAAATGGCAAATGATTTTCCCAGTGCTGCGGCTTAACGAAGATCTATTGAGACTATTTTGCACTTGGATTGGATTTAGACTAAATGGTTGTTTAGAGCATTTGCCCAAGAATAACAATAATATCGCACACTTCATAAATTTCTCCGCCAAATTGCCAGACAAAACACATTGAATTGCACACGGAAAATGTGTTTATTATTCTTGGAATTGGTATGGCGAATTGACTTAATTCTGGAGTTTGTTAATTGCACACGAGAAACTGGAGAAGCGCAAATAGTCATGGATATATATTGCAAGATACTTTTAGCAATGTTTGTAGAACTCCAAATATTCTCCAAATAGCTCTAAGTCTAACTTTGGTGTCAAAGGCACAAATTTAGCCTATTTGCACGCTGGCAAAAAATACTCCACGCGAATTTCGTGCTGAAAAGTTTAGACAAGAGAAACATCCATCGATTAGCATTGCTCTCCTGACACAGTGAACTCTTGAGGTGGAACTATGGAACAACAAGAGTGGTGAGAAAGTTGGATGGAGTTTTTCAGTTGGAATGCCAGACAGTGCCTTAAGTCGTTTCTCCTACTTCGAAAGCCACACAATTAAGCGCTCAAACTTTTTAATCCCTTCGCAAACATCGAGGAGGATGTATCACTAATTGGGGTTTTAGTTATTGTCACTTAACGAGATGAGCATCAACACCACGATCATCCCGCAAGATGACAACCGGACACCCTGTGCATTTGCAAGTGGTGAAGAGCTCTGCCTTGGCGCACGACAATACGCTTCGTGGGGGGAGGCATCCTTAAGGATGTGAGAGAGTATTGCTCTTGGATGCAGTTCAGAGGGTGGTTTGGCCATCGCGTGCATGGCAAGAGTGCTGGAGTGGAAAATGCAAATGTGCCTTTTTTCTCATTTCTATTTTCTGCCTTTGTTTGACTCTGCGTGTATCTTTTCCGGTGGCTCTCTGTGTAGCCATTCACTTTTGTGGAAAGCGGGCGGTTGAGCGCCGGAGAACCGGGGGTGGATAGCACCATGGCGTATCTGTTGTCTCCGACACTGAAGACGGAAATGCAAAATAATGTTTAATTATATCTTCATACCATAGCTCTCCTTCGCACTTCATCTCGACGCGGGTATGGCAAAAAAGGGATGAAATGGAGAAGAAAAATTATTCCATCCTATGGCTCATCTAGCGACGAACGGCGATATTAGATTAAGATAATAGCGACTAAGTGAAGTGGCGGAAATATGCAGACGACGCTTATAGCGGCAACATAGCAATTGGATTTATATTTAGTTAGGGGGCTTATAATTTAATGGGGAAACTACACCAATATTTTCACCAGATTGCTCCAAAACCTCCCTCCTGGCACTTACACTTACTGCCCTGACGTAGTCAATACAGCGCGCTTCACATCAAGTGTTGTAATGGAATTCTTGCACTAAACGCGAACTTTTACCCCATTTTTTCGGTCTTGAATGAGAGTTTTGTTAGCAAACCTCAGTTTCAATCCATTATAGGCTTAATTGTCCACCAGTATTCTATTTGCAATGTATTTTATTGAAAGTGAAAGAAGAAAATGTAAATTTTACACCAATTGGCCTAATGAATTCCACGAAGAGCCCCTGCAATTCTGGGAAATTTAGTGTAAACATTTCCGGGACACTGTGAGCTGAACACGCTGTGCTTGTGAAATGGCTAAAATCAGAAGTGGGATACACTACAAAACTTTCAGCACAACTTAAAATAATATTAACGATTGTATAACGCAAAATGGGATTTCAAGGGGTGGAACTCCAGCTAAAGTGTGGCTGCAAAAGGGACAGAAACACAGAGTTTTAATGATAATACGCTAGAACGTGGCGAGTGTGGATGTGAGAAGAGGGCACAATCTCAATGAATCTTGCACCTTATTCCCGGGCACAGTGCACAAGGCCTGGATTATTTCGCGTGGCGCTAAGAAGAAATTAATGCAACAAATTACGTGTGAGAATCTGCATTGTGTGCGGTCGCTGCCGCCTTCTGACTCCTAAATATTCGCCCGTGGTGTCACATTAAACAGTGCACAAGGAATATTCTCACCTTTCGCGCTGCGCCTCCTTCACAATGATCCCGTTGCCAAGATGAGGGCAGTGGTGTGGGGGTGGATTGTGGCGGAATAAGACGTGGCACAGGCTCGGGATTGGCAAGAACTCGTGGGCGAGTGTATAAAAGTCTCCATATTGCTGTGATTTCTCACCCTCTATGTTTAACGATGTTCTGTTCACTTTGCCCACTGATGGCCTTTTAATGGGATTTCAAATGGTTTTTTGCCCTCAATATCGATGCTCGGATATTTTGTGTATGTATCCAACCAAACTTACAATTTATACGTATTTGCGGGGCGGAGGGGGAGCAGAGGAGACAAGCTATTTCAACTCTATGCGATAGTTTTATTATATAATCTGCCAAAAATACGATTATTTTGGCATACTCATGTGCCTCCAATAGAATGTAAACATATCGACATGTCCTGACTTACATTATTGCAAAATATTGAGTGGAATTCATTCATACCATCCACAATGCTCTCGCTCCTTCTCACTCCTATCTAGACCCCAATTGGCCATGTAAATTACAGCAACGCGCAAATAATAGCAATGACCTGAGTTTCGACTCTTCACACCCGCAATAGCGCCATTATTTCCTGCATCAGCCTGTCCGTTTGAGAGGCGTTTCAGACAATCACTTCGCATGTGAAAATCACCCGAGTTTGCTCGATAGGGGTGATTGAGCAACTCCTGGAACACCTCACTGCTCATATTTTTGCCCCTTTTCACACCTAACATTCCCCCGCAGTCCACGTAATTCCTGCTTATTGAACTTGTTTCTTTCATTTTCCACCTTGGCTCTGTCCCTTAACTTGTGTGATTTATCGTGTGCAATTTTTCAATAAAATGCTCCCATGTCGCGAGAAATGCCTGCATCAAGTGCACACGGTTCACAGCTAATTTTCTCACTCGGAGAGCCGTACCTTGTGTTTTGTTCTCACGTGCAAATTGAAAAGTGGGCATAAGTGCTGTCCGGACAATGTTTTACGGCTCTTTTGGGAGCAATACGGGGAGACTTCACAACTGCGAAGTGCTCAAAAATTAACGCCAAACGCTTGTGTTGGATGCTAAATGCACAATTTATGTATGCTTCCTCGAAATTTTTTGAGCTTGAGATTTCAAATGTGGACTCAAGGACCACTCTAACAATTACGAATGTCACTATTAATCAAATTTTCACCTTCACAGAGCAAAGTGATCTGATTGTGTTTCCTAATTTGATAGACACGGGGATTGTTTCGGTTCAATTAAGCATATTAGTGCAGCACTCTTTGGGATTTTCACCTGAGATGGAATCCAGTAAAGTATAAGAGAGTGGCTCGGTCAACCTCTTTTCAGTTCCCAATGAAAAGTGCACTTTCGGTTTTTATAGTGCAAGGTGATTTAAATTTCAGTATCGTCTGTTAGTGTGTCTGTAAACCAATAGCATTACGAAAGACTTGAATAATAAATTTTTATCTGTCTCTCTATCCATTGTTTCCTCCGGCAAGCTGTATGGCAGAAACATAAACAAGAGCACTAGAATAGAGAACACTGAACTTGAGTTTTAATTCTGGCGCTGAAATCTCAAACTTTATACCGTATTTTCAGCACAATCATGCAGAGATGGGGGGTCAAGTCAAGAGCCTCCCCTCGGCCGCTGGACAGTCAAGTGTGCATAATGCTGTAAAAGTTATTTGACTATTTCAAATTTAGCATTTTCATCTAAAAGACTGGTACTTGCGGCCCGGATTTGGTGGATTTTGGAAGATAAATGTTTCAAATTTCGTATGAATAATCGAGTGAATTTGCATGGTGTAGGGGGCAAGAGTGGCCTCAAAAACTGCGTCTTTCATCCTAATGTATTCATAGGGTCGTATGTGCAAGACCACAGGAGACCGGAGAGGGTTTGGCGTATTTGAATTTATTGTATTGATGTGCACACAACCCCCTAAAGCCGAGAGGTAGCGAGGCACTTTTTGGTGCATTTGTGTCGACAAATCGAATCGAATAAACAACATCACGCAAAGGGAGCTCATCCTCGAAATGATGTCACTTTTCTCCCATGTTCCTCTCTTTTGCTGCCTCTCCAACAGCTCTCTTCCTGCAACTGAGGTGAAAAACTGCAATCGATAGTCTCTTTTATCTCTTCCGGTTTATCGATTTATCCTTATAGTCACCAGTTTGAAAATGTACCATGTTTGCTGTGTGCATTAGAAATAATACCATAATTGTGTAGGAAGTATTTCAAAATTTAAGGGAAATTCACTTAATCTCTCACTTCTTGCTTTCGCTCAAATACACCAAAACCACTTCAGTTTCAAACTTGATATATTAAATTCATAAAGCAACTTATGCAAGGCATTTTACCCAATAAATACTATATTATTAAACTGAAACGCAAAGGCGGGAAGGGAAGTTATATAATTTCAACTTTATAAGCTATATTCAAAATTGCACACTTTCTGTCAAAGCGCACAGCAAAACAAATCGCCTTGGTTTAGGATTTTTTTCCGTGATCTCACCGGACGGTTGTTTTGCTGGTGGCTCTCCATGTGTCTGTACTTTGCAATACTCCCTCGGGGAGACACGGGGCCACAGGGCGGAATGTGGCCGAGGGAAGAACGCCACAGAGTGAAGTAGTGGAGAGCACTTGTAGTCGATGGGGTCGCCGGGTGGGCAAGAGTGTCCGAGTGGACAAAAAATAGTCATGTGGACAATTATTGTGGCAATTATTCGGTCATTTGGGACCAAGTATACCACTGCAGATGGAGTCTATGGTGGTGGGGTCGCAGACAGGGGGCTAGAATTTGTGCCCTTTTTGTCCACCAACTACCCTTGGTCTGCACGCTTTTTCAGCCCTCGAACCCCAGCAAATGTCACGTGTGTGTGCACCGAGAGACCCGGAGGAAGTCCTCGATGGCATGTGGTCGCAAGGGTGGTCTTCCGTTGGATGGATTGTGGGGAAATGTATAGTGTTTACCTTTGCCTGTTGTGCTGATTGATTGAGCCGTGCTTGAATTCACTGTGGCGGCCGGATGTGGCCTTGCCCATAAGCGCGAATCGCCTGCCAGGATGGTGGTGTCCGCCAGAGGAAGTGCTGACGTCGTCCCGGTACCGATGATGGTGATGGTGGTGATGGTGTCCCGAGATGTCTTCCTTGAAATCGACAAAATCCACGGAGCCTGGATCGAGGGGGTAGATTCGTGGTGATGTTGCACTCTCCAATACCGCACTCACCAATGAAGTGCTCTGCAAGGACTTCAAGCTGCCACGGCGCGGTTCTGCAGATTCTTTAAACATTTATGCGGAAAAGTTCGTTTTGTTCTCCTCTGTTTTTCTTTTTTCTCTTCGTATTATCTCTATATTCGTATTTATTGTTATTATTCCTTCTCCTATTCCTCTTGTTTTTCGTCCAACTTCATTGTATATATATTATGCACCACCAATGCGAGGTGAGAGAGAGAGGATCACACACACTCATGATATTTTATTTAGAATGAAAGACACGAACAAAAACACTAAAGAAACAGACACAACACAAAATTTCGTACGACAGTGAAGAAGAATTACACAACAGAGGGTAAGACAATAGGATAGAAGAGAAAGAGCATCCAACAGTATTGCAAAAGAGCAAAATTATTTCTCACATGTATGTTTCATCTTTTTTTTTTATAGGAATTAAAATACATACTTAAACCATAGTGGAAATACACATAACAACGGAAAATTGAAAAGTTTATTATGTGGTTGAGGAGATTGCGAAAGAAAACCACAGTCCTAAAATTCACAGAAGAATATTTGAGAGAGAAACACAACATTGAGATTTGCCTCGATCCAATTTTAACATTTTATGAAATTCAAAAATTCTCTTCAAATCTCGCTCACATGAGATTACTTTCTCAAGGATTGCACGGACTCTTTTAGTTCGGGAGAAGAATCACATGTAATCAAAATTTGTGAGGGTGAGAAATTATTTGATTAAGATTCTATTTTTCGCATTTTTATGTCTATAACTATTATATTTTGAGCACTAAACTTTGTCTCATAACTTCATATCAAAGTCATGATTCTATTTTTTCCCATAATCCCGAGAAATGTATTTCAGGTCACTTTCTTTCCCTTACAAAAATAGTCACTAAATTAAATGAGACACTTGACGTGTTCTTTAATGCTCAGCTTCGAGTTTGAAAATATCAAATTCACTGCCGAATGCTTCAATTTATCTTGGTCAATCAATCAAGAGCGACGTGATCGGAGATGTATTGATTAATTCTGTGGAGTTTTCAGATCCAACAAAAATTCAGCAACTCGCACAGAGAAGCCACGAAGAAGGGATATAACTTTACAATAAATGGAAGGTTCTTCTGACTAACCACACAACTTCTATGCAAACATCGACCAATGCACTGGCATTGGCACTGTTGGGTTATTTCCTCGGGCGGGGTGGATGTCGCCACGTTGGGTGTGGGGAGGGTATTTTAGCTGGCGAGGGTCGCGAAAAGTGATTCCCGACGCGAAATTTCACCCATCTATGTGACACTTTTTTCTGCCATACAGCAAACGTCTATTTCATGTGCACATATACGAGGTTTTATGTATTTACAAAATTGGGCACAGAATGCACATTTAGTGTAGTGGCTGAAAGTGTTTGATGGTGTCCTCTGGCATTTATAAGAAAGGACTACAATATATATTTTTTCCTTTTTAATTTGCTCCATGCTATCTTTTTGCCCTCGACTCATCCCCTTTTCTCCTCCTCAAGCTTCCGCATACCCTTGAAAGATGAGGCGAAATTGCCATCGACCACCCGTAAATTTCTGGGTGTCTTTTTTTTTCATCTACTCTAACCTCCACTTTAGCTCACTGGGAAAGTCATTCTTCTTTCACTACCATTGGCGCTTTCCTTGTGGAGCGTCACACGAGGAAGTGGCACAGAGGAGCGAGACATGAGAATTCTGCACGATGCGATTGTGTCTCCTCGCACGATTCTGAGCCTTCAGTGGGAAAATTCGAGAAATTTCCCACCATATATGCTCACTTCCTCATTGGATTGCATCGAGTGCACCACTCTGATGACGGTATCTCGATGGTGAGTGATGGAAGTGTTTGCACTTTGTCCAGAAAGCAGCCAATACGAAAATGTATAGGCATTGGCAGCAGAGTTTTATTTGAGGAAAATTTCACAGCGATTCTATCGGTGTGTTTCCTCCTTTTTCAGCTTTGATGGTGTATTAGAGAGCAATGGAGTGCATGAATTTGGGTTCTTCGCATTCTATAATAGGCCTTTTGGTGTGTTAAATATTTCGAAATCCAACAATGTTGCACAATGGGGACTTTTGTCTTGTGCTCTCTTTGCACCCACCCCACTGGACAGCCCTCTTGAGCTGGGGCGCCTCACTAAAGCGCGGTGGAACACCATACATATTGGTGTTATACAACCAGCAATTTATATGGACTCCAATGTGGCCTCTGCCGATGCTCTGCCTTCGCCCATGCCTTCTCAGTGAACTACGAGTAATGGTGGGAAGGAGAGGTACTCGTTATTTACCAACCACCTAAAATGAGAGTACTTTCATTGGGAAAATTTTCGACATACAACTTATACGCCACTATTGCCATTCGGAGCCTCACCCTTGCAGCGGTGGCAAGTCTAAATCGCTCTATACGGCATAAGTCAACTCGAAAGGGGTTAATAGCACTCCCATGACCGTGGCTCTCAAATTTGCATCATGTCCCCGATGAGGTGAAAATCCATACGTAATTTTTGCGCCATGCACTCAGACGTAATCCTCATATCGCTGGCCAACTGCATATCGACGGGTGAATAGGAAACTATCAAAAGTACAAATCGTCATTTATCAAGGGTGAAAGTTGAAAATTTTGCGTTAAAATCTCTGCGAAATTTGTTAAATTTGCCTCAAAACACCTTTTAATCGTCCAATAAAGTGCTAATATTGCTAAAAAAAAATTATAATATTTAACAATATCTAAGATCATTTTAGGACGATCTGGAAAAATTAAAAATTTATTTGCTTATCATAGAGACGTTTTTTATGCATTTTACTGCAGTTTTCATAGTTTTCGATTCACCCGTTGATATGGCAATGCGAGGAATTTTCGGACAGCACACTTTTTGCACCCGAATAACATACGCGATTTACACATTTGAGATTTATGAGTTATGCATGAGCATGCTCCGAAAGTGTATAAAAATAATAAGTGCATAATAACTGGGAAAATCGATTTACCAGTAAACCATTGAAGAAATTTTGTGCTCACAATTGACCCACTATCCCATATCAAGCTGGAGTTGAAAGTTAAAGTCCCTCAACAATTTGTGCTGAATTACTTAAGGGTTTCATCTGCAGTCATAACTGAAACAATTTTACTACTTTTAGCTCCCCATTTAGATTGCCTTTCGGGCATAAAATCGCCTGTTGAAGATTTAGATTCGATCTTGAAGGGGTTGGTGGTTTGTGAGGACTAGGAAACTATTTATAGAAACATTCAACCGTAAAATTATATCCTGATTACAGGCCTATATGACTCGATATAGTGAAAAGTTAGCAGAGACTTAATTCCGCAGTCATTCATCATCCTCATCTGTCCGAATAGGAAATTTGCTGTCACATCGCGATAAAAGACTGCCGTATCTCCCCATCTGGATGGCAAATCTCAAATGGTATTTCGGCATATGATGGGTGAATTTGAGTGTATTGTCAGCCCTCTGTTTAGGCCACAAAGCCCTTCGCATGTGGGGGGGTTTTATTGCAAAAATTTCAATTAGCCACCCAGGAGATTAGTGTCGTGATTTTGGCCAATTTACGACCGAGGACAGCAAATTGGGCGACATGAGGAGACCGAATTGAAGTGCAGGCTTATCCATTGAATATGAGTGAATAATGGGTGAGTGGCAAATGTGATTAAGCAGGAAGTCCACGTGAGAATTTCTCGAATAAAAAAATTTCAACTGCAAAGGTATAGATTTTCAATTAATATCGCCGGGGTGTTTTTGCTCCACCGAATTCCGCCGATGTACTGCACATTTTTCAGCGCTTCGTCCGAATTTCAATAAACCATGACTGGGCAATTTTTCCCCGGCTGGGAAGGAAGCTTCCTCAGGGTGGAAAAGTCAAGGTGGTGTGTTGGAGGGTTATGAATGCGAGAATTATTGGGTGAAAGTGTAAATGAAGAATAGTTTCCGGATATTGTGAAAAGAATCCATTTGTAGTGGCGCCTCTGATGGATATTCTAGAGCGAGGAGAATATCCTAAATTGAATACATCAACCTTCTGCCGCGGAGTTTATGGCACAGGAGTGGTGTTGCTGATTGTGTTGCTGCACAATGTAATTATTGATTATTCCAGGGGAATCCAATAAAATTTGAATTTTCTTTAAATGAGTGAATAAACAACGTCTCCCACCGCCTGACAGTCACACGAAAAGCCCCTGTGCCGGAGTTTCCACCCGTGGAAGTGTGTTTTGAGCACAAAAAGGCGTCCCCCATTCGGTGAGAGTGTAAATTTTGCCAGGTGGTGTTTTGGAGTTGCGAGGCAAGAATGCTAAATTGAGTGGATGAAAGCAATTAATTTGCAACATTGTTGGACACAATTGTCAAGCTATCAGCGTCCACCAAGGCGCCCGCGAAATGGGGGGCGGAGTTGGGCGCAAAGTTGAGAAAAGTGACACAAATTCTGCAAAATGTACATTTGTAGTTCACGACGAGTTGTCGCTTCGGCCTGCTTTTTCACTGCACAGCGCAATTTGACGGTCGCAGTCAATCAGGGCGAATTGGCGTAACATTGAAAACCATGTGGCCCGCGGGTTGGTTCAAAGTAAATCAAAGTAAATTTTCTCAGAGCTCACCTTGGGACCACCAGTGAAAATAGGTTCCCACCAAAGTTTTTCTGCACTCGCCTCCGGCCGAACGGCAAAGCGGCGAAGATACATCAAGTCACAGGCGTACAATTAATTTACTCAGTTCTCCCCAGTGGAATCCATCAACAATCACATAATAAGGTCGATTAAATGAGCAAATGTTGGATGTGTGCAGATGAAAATTCCGGCAACATGCTCTACTCAAGCCAAACTATTCCTCTGCGTGCGCGCGAATCACATGGAAAAGTTGTTCTCTCTCGCTCTCTGTGTAAATGTTATTCAACAAAATACTCCACCATACAACCAGGCAGTTAGAAAAACAAATCAACGATGAAACTTTTCGAAACCATTCGAAGATTTCAGGAGTAGCAGAATTGTAGTTTATGTATAATTTATACACAATCTACATGGCAAAGTACATGGATGGCGTATGTGATAGCGAAACACATGGGAAAAGGTGGGAAAATTGAAATTCCCGCGTTTCACCTCACTCTGTTGTGTATTATGCCTCCTCTTCGACTCCCCTGAGCTCCTAAGACCGGCTATAGGAGTGGAAGGGTGCGAGGGAGTAACTGCCTTGTTTGGGTGGCGAACGTGGTGGAATATCAGAAGTTGCGACACGTGAAAAAGATTCGCTTCCTCCCACCAGCAGT